AAGTTTTATGGGCCCTGTTAACAAGTGGAAGGTATTTTAAAAGGGTGATAATTTTTATAGCACCGATTTGATTGCTACTATCGTTTTCCAACCATTTCTGATCTATGCCATTGTTCCCTAACTTCTCTAGGTTAAATCTGTAGAGGGAATTCCCATCATACTTTAAAGGTCAAAGACACACCGTTGATTTTTCTTCCCTTAAAAAGAAAACAACTGAAAGCTGTATGCATGTGTTGTGATTCTTAATTCTGTGGATATGAGAAAACAGCTCTCGTTCTATCTGGCATTGTTTAGGAAGAATACATCCACGTGATGTTGTTAAATGGAGCAGCTGCCTATTCATGTTATCTAAAAGTGGGAGGTGGTTAAGCAGTTAGAATAAGAACAAGAGCTGAAAAGTAGAAACATTTCATCATCCTGGTAAGCTGGATTACAACCTAAGAGACCAACACCTGTGGAAAGCCCATGTTGCTGCTTCCTTTCTGTCAAGCAATAAAGGCCAACAGGCAGAAGAGAAAGCAATAAGTTCTCCCATAGCATGGTAAATCCCAGCACTTGTACTACAACATATACAAACCCTCTTCTTCACCAAAATGAATCCGGCAAAGAAGACTTTGCTGTGGAGAAGTAAAAGCATTCTCCTGGGCTAGATAAAGAGCCAGGGCCTCCTCCCATGTACAGCTACGAACATAAACACCTATTTCTGGATCCAAACTCAAAAAGCCAGGTGCTGCCCAGTCTCTCCCACCAAAGCTTGGTTTTTCCTCAATGCTTCTTTTGCCTCCAGTTTTGATTCTAATGTTGAATACATTCAATTATGACTTCACAAAAAGAAGTCTCACAAAAGTACAGTATACAAATATTTAACATACAATGATCATCCCAACTAATGCCAAGGAGGCTGTCGGTACTACCACAGCCCTGCAACACTACCATATTTGGCAGAGAAAATCTCTAGAACATGAGGGAATTTCCAGATACACATCCCAGAAGTTTCTACGTATTCCAGGGAAAGTCTGAGAAGCCTTATTCAAGCATGCCGTTAACTGTATCATTACTAGTGGACTCCTCCATCTCTTGTCAGTAATGCTGGTTCTAGGATTAAACAAGAACATAGACAAACTGTATCTCTTCAGGAGACCGCAAAAACTGCTGCAGCTCAACGTATGCTATTGTAATGCTGGAACACAACCAAAAACACAGCATAAAAGCATAGAGGCAAAGTCCTAGGCTGCAGCAGCTGCGGACAGAGAAACAAACGAAAAAACATCCACTCACCCTTGGAAAGCCTCAGGAAGGCAAAGATCTCCAGCAAAACACCCTCACCTTCACTGCCAACCCTTAAATGAGGTCTGGTGGATCCTGGTTCCACCCCTTCCAATCAGTCAGGTACATTGCATACACCTGAGCTCCCCTGGGTTGGCCCTGCCTTCCCACCAGGTGCTCAATCACTGCTTCAAGCCTTGACTGAGCATTTCTGCTACAGCTTTAAAACCCCAAAAAATCTGGCTCCTGCTTCTGGTTGGCGCTGAGAATTGTGGTGCTATTAGCAATGAGGTGGTCTGTGCAAAGTTGGATCATAGTTTGGTTGCAGTGCTGCAAAGGGTAGGCCCATTGAAACACTGTCAGAATTACTGCAGGAAGATGTTGAGGTTTGAAGTATGTTCAGAAATGCAGAAATTCCTCTTGCTGGAAGAAGTCTGGGAGAGTCCCCTGTTCTTGCTGTTAACTGCTCTCTCCCGTGATGGCCATGGAACAAATTCACTGTCATTTTAAGGGTCTGAATAGTACTGTGCTAGCCCAGGTGCCTAAGAAATTCTGTATGCAATCACATCACAGCAGTATCTCGGGCTAGTTAAATGCCTAGACTTCCTGAGCAATGTTGCTTACCCTCACTGCAGGTGTCAGCGTGGGATCTCTGATGACAGCACACAGTGGTGTCACACACTTGAAGAAGCAGTGATGCAAAATTTCTGAATGTATTTGCTGAATGTCACTAAACCTCCAGATGTTTCTTCCTTTTATAGTCCTTCAGAAGTATATAAGGATTTGTGGAGTGATCTCTGTGAAAAAAAAAATAATGGTTAAATTCACATAGTCCATCATTTTGTTAACTAGAATGTAGTTTTCCAATAAATATGTTTCCAGATAGATGTCCCAGAAATTTCTGCATATTCGAGGGAAAGTGGAGTGATTCTTGTCTGGAGGATCTACACATCCAGTCATAAAGATGTGATGCATTTGTTGTGTGGTGCCAGTTGGTTCTGAATAGAGAAAACAGAGTTAATAATCAGTTTTTCTGCTGCTGTAGCTGGAAGAAGAAAGAGATTTGCATGTACTTTAAGTATTATTCCTTGAAAAGAGCCCTCCATGCTGTTCCAAGAAATCTCATCCATTGTGTACATTACCTATAAATGTATACTTAATACTTATCTTTAATTTTAGAGACTGCTTGTGTGGGTTTTTTTGCTAATTTATTCTCTGTTATGCTGTCATATAACCTTAATGCTGCCTCTTTTCTTAAAAGGCTGCTGGAGGCCCTTCCTCTTACCTTGCCCATTTAGTTAGTGTTCTGTAGGAAAAGACACTCAGATTAGTTTTGTATCAGGATGGAAGAGAACATGAAGACATTATGGTCTCAGACATCCTGAGATCTCGCTTTCCCCTGATACCTGGTGCTTCACTGCTCCTTGATGCTTCCGTTGACATTTTGACTGGTGCTCCAAAGGGAAAATCAGCAAAGGGAAATCTCCCTTCTCTACAGGCAGTGCAGAGCTCACTGGGATGGGCTATGCCTGGGAGATGTGTCCCCCAAGATGCACACCATTAGGCCATGTAACACAGGAATGTATTCATGGCAACCTCTGTTACGGCAGGGCATCTAGCTGGCATTGTTTGGTGTTCGTTAATTCACAGTGGAGCAAATGGTGTTATTTGAGTTTCTACTGCTGTAGCTGAAAGAAAAAAAGCCTAGATTAGTATTTGTGGTAAGTGTTATTAACCTGGCTTCACCAGCACACTCTCCAAGCCATATAATACAAGTCAAAGTCTCTTTGCAGTCACTCAGATGATTACAAGAGATAAAAAGTAATAATGGGTCATAAACTGAGGGAATATGAGACAAACACCACTTAATAGACTGTGAACGAAGTTCATTGTAGCCAGTGGAAATCTGAGCTGCATCTGAATCAGAACTGCCTCGCTGTGGAAATCCCTAGTGTCCATTTGCACTTGTCAGCAACGTTTCTCTGATCAGGCTGCAAAGCTGAGTGAGTGGCACTTTTATTAAAAATTGTGAAAGATGATGTCGCGGGCTAATCCAGTAATAACTTCTTCCTGCTACTCTCAGGAGCCCAGTCAATCTTCTTTAAACCTGCAAAGTCTTTGTTCATGTTCTGAGCACTGAGGCTCAAGCAGTTCAGTGCACATGGCACAGGCTGGTGCTATCCTGGGAATTCAGAAGTGCAGAACAATGTTCCTGTGTAGCAGAAGGTGATGAGCCTCAGGTGCATCATGCCCCTGGGCAGTCCCATTACAGCACGAGCCATGAGACCGTGCATGGCCCTGCTGCACTGGGGAGATGGAGATGCTCCTGCAATCCGCACCACACTGCAATGCCTGGTTTCAGTCTCTGCTCTGCAGGGTCACACTATGCAGCAATGTGAGATGTACACAGGAGTGGAAGCTCTCTGACACCGCAGTAATCAGGCAAGCAAACGCGTCAGCTTGGAGCAAGAGCTTAAAAGAAAAGCAGAAAACTAAGTCAAAGGGATCCTACAAGCAGATGGCTCTGCGTTTGCCTCATTTAGTATCTCCAACTCCTCCCTGAATGACAATTGCGGCTGTGGAATTTCTGAAGATAGGAAAACCTTAGTCCAAAGCCTGCCTTAGGCATATAAAGGACAAGGTATCCTCAGCGTTAGAAGCAGCACCTCTCTGGAGAACTGAGGTGTCATACATGTGCAAGTCTTTAACTTGTGCTATTTACTCAGGCATCCTCCAGAGACTACTAATTAATGTGGAGCTCTGGGGCACAAAAATATTTTGATCTAGGCTGACCAAAGCTCCTCCTCGTTTATATTAAGAACTGTTTTTTAATATTAGATGTGCTCATTTCATTTTCCAATTCATTCTCTCTACTGCCGGTGTCTCTGATCTGTTGCTTCTAATGATGCCAAGCATCATCCTCATGAAAATTCACATAATTTGGAAGTCAGTAACAACATAAAGGCAGCTGCATCTGGGCTACAACCCTGCAGGTCTGGGGGATCTCAAGCCCTGTGAGATATAAAACAGTTCTGAAAAATTTCTTCTCAGAAGGAATGGTTATGCAGTGCTATAGGCAGCCCAGGAATGCGGTAGAATCACCATCCCTGGAGGTGTTCATGGGCCATGGAGTTGTGGCACAGAGGGACATGGTCAGCAGGCATGGTGAAGATGGGGTTGTGGTTGGAGTAGATGATCTTAGTGCTCTTTTCCAACCTTAATGATTCTACGTGCAGAGTAGAGATGTCACTTGACATCAGGTGAGCACTGTACTTTCTCCCACGCTGTCAGTGTTTTGCTCCATGATTTTCACCAGTCATTTTCCTGGTCTTTGTCAGAAGTGGTGAGAATGCCACTTTCCTGGGATTTGAGGTCTCTGAATATAATTCAGTAACCATTTGTACGTACTCAGGCTTTGAAGGAAAGAGTGAAAATGCCACCTCAGTTCAAGTGCTTAAACACACTGGGTTTGCCTAAGGTGGTCCAAGAGTCAGGCTTACGTAAATGAACACTTTTCAGAGGAGGAGAAGAAAACAATGCAGGATAAAGGTAAACTTTCTGCACTTGAGAATGTTTCTCCCCCGTTCCCTCAGCTGTGTTATACTATATATTATCACTGTCATCAAAAGGGGTGTGTGTAAGAACTTGAAAAACCAAACGAACCTGTCTGCAAGGTGTTCCGTATATCACAGTCCCACAGGTGGCTTTATTTCCAAGCACCGGGCTGTGCTGCTGCTGCCTCCTGCTCCCCCTGGCTCCCAAGGCTGCTTCTGGATTTAGCTGCTGCATCGGGAGTAAGCGCCCGCCTGCAAGTAAGCTCCATTTCTTTCTTGAAGTCGCTGTTTTCAAAAGAGCTGTCAGCTGCCAAGGTGCTTTAGTTGTGATGATTTATCAGGCACTCAGCTGATGTACTGCCTGCCACTTTTGTTGTGCATCACCTCCTTTCTTAATGATAAACAATTGATTGGTTTAATGAATTAATAGAGGAGACATGCATGAACCTCAACAAATGCTTTTTAATAAATTAACTATCTAGGCCTGTCTCATTAAATCAGAAGAGAACGTTTGCAGTGTGACAGCTAATTAATTGCTTCTTCCAATCAGTCACCAGCTGGGATAAAGCCAACATTGTAAAGTTCCCCTTTTGTTTAAACAAGTGAATGCCTCTTCCCTTTCTGTTTCCCAAAAGTGGATTTAAGTGGATACCCATGTGTGTATCTAAGCAGCACCAGCTAACAGTGAAATGTCATTCGACGTGACCCAAACCAACATCCTGTTTGCATAACGTATTTGAAAAGAGATTACCTTTGTTAGTGATGTTAAGAATTAACATTATTTTCTGGAGCGTACGTAGATCTGTATAGGAGCAACTGCATATAAGCTGCATATGGGTAAAACAGGATTTTTCCTTCCTAAACGGCTTATGCTACCTGTCACAGCACACAGCCAAGCTGTTGGATGTCAGGCTGGCAGCTCTGCCCCACACCCAGGAGCCCAGGCCCAGTGCTCAGTGGGAGCTCAAGCTGACCTTCCTCTCACGGAACTGATTTCCCAGCTTGGATAAATAATTTTTCTCGCAGGGAACTACAAAATCAAGCATGTGACTCATTCAGATCTTTTCTAAAACCAATGGCTTTGGATCTGTTTCAGACCGTACTTTGCTCTCTCTAGTTCATCCATCATCCTGGGTATCATTCTACCTTGTGCAAATCTACTTTCCATCTTGGAAAAATCATCATGAAAATTCACAAGCCAGGCACTGAATCTACTAATCTGTCATTAATGTTTGCATAGCGATGATGAAAACAATAGCAACTTCATCTTCTCTCTGGGTTAAGTCTTACCCAGATGAAGAAATAATTATAGTCTTCAAAGGTAATCTATTCTTTTCTGTAAGCCATTACTATTTTCAACTTTTTTTTTTTTTTTCTACTAAAAGCACTAGCCTAAAAAAAATGCAACCAATAAATGGTTTTTACTGTAAAGAGGATGTGTCAATCTTATCGTCCTCTCATCTTTTTCATTTGTGTTTCTAGCAAGCTTGTGAAACTGTCAGAAATTATTTTCTGCTGATAAGCAAAAGAAATATACAGTAAAATTCTATCTTTGATGAATTTTAGGGGAAAATTGTTTTGAGAAGGACAGGGATTTCATTCCAGATATTCTTGTCTCTATGTGAAATCTTATTTATGGGCAGACCGGTGTCGAGAGTGGGGGAGATGCTTTTCCAGGTTAGCTTAGCAATCATTCTTAAGGCACATTTCTCCAATTACCTGCAGAGATATTTTATTCACTTTTCCAAAATTGAGTTGGCTCGGGGGGTTTTCTTTCTGCTTGTTGGGTTGGTACCAGGATGTGTGTATTCACAGCCAGGTGATCACTGTGCCATTTGGGGATGACTGTCACAGGAAAATAGAGTGTGCTGGCTGCCAAGGGAATGGTTGGGAACATTATTGTCACTGCACGTGTCCTGGATACCTCTTTCTATCCTGTATTTCCAATTTAGCACAGCTAAACTGGAATCACCTACTGCACAGATGGAGGTACTTTTCTAGCACTGTCCTGTCATTACTGAAGTGAGTTATCAGTGATTCGTAGTTCTCCCTGCCTTCTTCCCTGTTCCATGAGCTCCTATCCAGCTCTTCTGCGTGTGCCTGTCCTGCCACCCCTTGGTGATAAATGAGTGGTGAAATTCTGCTGAAGTTTACCAAAAAAAAAAAAAAAATCCCACTGATTTCAAGAGCCTCAGAAGTGTTTTTTTCTGTTGTGGCAAACAGTAATTTCCATTTGCATAGATAGTAACATGAAGTCTCAAATTTCTCACATTTAAGGTCTCAAACTGTTTTTCAGAGACAGTTGTGCCAACATGCTTGCACCATTGTACAGAGTTGAGAAAGATTTGGAAGACTTGAAAGAAATAATGAAGTGGATTTTAAAAGCACAGTGCCTTATGTCCTAGTTTCCTCTTTGGGAAAGACAGGAATTGTTCCATGGACTAACTGATGTGAAGACAAAAATGGGCCTGATTTGAACTCTTACCTTTCAAAGTTCAGAAACAACTGCTCATTCTACCCGACACTGTGAATTTCAGAATTCTATGTATAGTAAGCCAACATCATCTCATTCCAATAATACAAAAGCAATTGCAGAAAAATCTGAGTAAGCATTTTGTGCTCATTTTTGTTTGGATTATATTGTGCAGCAACTCAGATAGGAAAAAAAGCCACTGTTTTGACATTCTAAATGGTTTGTAAATATATGTGACATTAGGGACCACTCTGCCAGAGGAATAAAAGAGTCCTACAGGGAGCATCACTAGTTCTGAAAGGCAGAAGCAGCTTAGGTCTGAAGAAAAGGAGTAAATTGTCTTGAGCAGTTGAGCAGTTGTCTTGAGCCTCGGTGCTCAAAACATGAACATTTTAAAATCCACTTCATTATTTCCTTCAAGCCTTCCAAACCATCACCTTTCCTACCGCTTGTGGGAAGCTGTGGGGGTTTGGGCATTGTGAGTCTTGGCCGTGAAGAACAGCAAATTGCATGTGTGTGTACTTATATGTATGTGACATAGGCAGAAAAGAGTGGGATGGACCACAATTCTCTTCTCCGTGCCAACTTTCATTTCTACCATAGATCATGTTTTCACCAACCTCTACTATTTCATTGAAATATCACCAAGATATGCAAGAATCCCCTTCCCTGAAGCACAGAACATCTGTAATAGTTCCCTAATTTTCCACATAAATTCTTAGTTTTCCTCAGGCTTTGTTAATCTCCTCATGCTTTAGTCTGGCTGACATTTATGGCAGTGTGTTATAGACACAGTGAACATCTTTATGGCCAGAATGATATTTTCTCATACATGGGGACTTTTTTACCACAATCTCATATAGTCATAAAGTTAAACTCATCCACATGTTTCTAATTATTTTATGATTTGTTTAATAGTTTATTTGTCACTCTTATTTTTGTATGTATAGATTGCATTTTCAAATCCCTAGGAATATGTCTTTCCAATCATTTTGACTGCAAGTCTACCTATGGTGTTTTCATTCCTGCATTCCTGCTAAATGTCTTACTTCATCTTACTAGTTTTCAAAAGATCATTAACTTCAACTGAAGTTTATGTGGTGGCCGTTGGTGCATCACAGATCTATGCAATCACACCAAGGAATTAATACTGCTCTACTTAAAAGTAGCACTCAATATTTTCATCAACTAATGTATTGCTGTCTCAAGGTGATGCTGGATTCAGTAACACCCAGCACGTTTCTGTCAAACATGATGGTTTGTGATCCCCTGATGTCTTGGACAGAGATATTTGGGACAACTGAAGATGACTATTCCACCTGTGACCATCAGACAGGTATGTAGATAGAAACTGAAATTGAAAAGAATTTTCAGTAATTCAAGGTTAATTTGAATTTAATTTAGTTCAAGATAAACTGAGTGCCAAACAGGCTGAGTCCTCTCTTGTAACCTTTCTCTTAGAGTCATAGAATGAACTGGGTTTAAAAGGACCATAATAAGCATTTAATTTCAGCCCCCTTGCTATGTGCAGGGGACCTTTTCTGGTCCAATTAACTTCCTCAAGCATATTGCTAGCTTAGAAAAGATCAAGGTGCACAGAAAGAACAGTGTTTTGTGTTTAAGCAATGTTTTCCCCCCATTTAGCAAGGTGATATAAGCAATGCAGGAAGGAACCCTCAAAGGAAAGTGCAGTCAACAAGGAGAGAAAGGCAGCAATTGAAAGGCAGATTCTTGACTCCTTGTTTATCCCATCTGCCTAGAATTTAGAATTTGTCCCTGAGATCACTTCTACCGTACAGAACTTCAGCCATATACTGAGCCAGTTATTTGTGATGACTGTCAATGACCAGATCACACACGTAGCTGCCAATAACTGGGATTTCAAAAGCTATTGGAGAACTGTGTGGGTCTAAAAACACATCAAATTCTCCTCTGCAGAATTTGTCAATGTTAAGTGTGCAATTCTCTAACTGTGAATGTGGAGACCCTGCACTTCACCAGGTTGCACACCTTACACGGTCATCCCAACTCTGCAAAGGAATTCATTCTAAATCTCCCTTCCAGTCAGTCATACAGTTCCCGAACAGTCCTTCTCTCTCTGAATCATTCAACAGTTCTGTAAAGAAAGGTAACACAACCAAGTCACAATACTGACCCAACCTTGTGGTGAGATCTGGGGAAGATTTATGATTTTATGCAGTATTTTTCTCTTAGGAAGCTATTTTTGTCCTCTTAAGTGAGAACAGTGTTGGCCTTACGGAAAAGTACTTTCCTGCTAAGGCACAGTTTGAGTAATAAGGAACAAAACTTTCCACACAGCTTCTGTTGGTGCTAATCCATGGCCATTGAGGACTTAGTGTTTGTTTCCATATGGCTGAATTTGTCTGTTCCATGTTTGTATGGTATATTAGGTAGAATATAAATGTTGCTTCAACTAGAAGGCTGTTCTTTAAAGCTGTGCAGGAATTAAATTTTTACTTAAATATATATATATCTGTATACTGTTTTAATATTAGTTTTCATTCCAACTTAGAATGAAATTCTAAAGTTCACTAGACATTACAGAAGTCACAGAAAGTATTCTGTTTTAAAATTTAAGAATGCAATTTAAAAAGTCTAATGTTATTCTATTTAAAGTTAATTTGGGGTCAGTCACAGTTTTGCCTTGATTCATATTATAGATTTGCCTGCTATCCAACCTTGGTTTTGTTGTTGTTGTTGTTTAAAAAATAAAAATCCATCAAATCACTGAAATTGAAATGATCCCAAGGGCTGCCCAGGGAGGTGATGGAATCACCATCACTGGATGTGTTCAAGAAATGTGAAGAAGTGGTACTGAGGGACATGGTTTAGTGGGCAATATAGGTGGTAGATGGATAGTTGGGCTGGATAACCTTAGAGGTCTTTTCCAACCTTTGTGTTTCTATGACTCTATGAAGTAGTTCTGCTATCAGCAGATCAGCATTTGCTGAAGGCAGAGCAGCCCTTCTGAGGCATCTTGACAATTCCTAGCATTACAGCCATCTGCTCCTTGTTATCAGCGTGAGCTCTGCAGCTCAACAGTTGGGCAGCTCTGAGCTCACCCAGGTGGACAGCAATGCAGCAGTGAAGTTGAGTCAGACTCTGCTTGTAGCTAAGTGCAAAGCTCTCTCTGCTCTAGAAGCAGAATTTTGTGCAGCAATCAGGTCAGACTCCCTCTTGCCAAGCAAAGTTGAACAGAGGAAATAATTATCATTTTCTGATCATGGTGGAAGCTACATTTCCTCCTTCACAAGTTTTTATTGCTCAATTTCTGATGCTTTTAAACTTCCCATAAACCCCTCATGGTTACAATCATTTCTGAATCAAATTTAAACCAAGCTTGTAAAACCTGTGAGTTCTGTTCCTATTTCCTTCCTTTCCTTCACAGTAGCTGAGGAGCACATTTAACATGTCTAGCACCGAAAAAGAAAAAAAACACCAAAAAAGCTACTGCAGTGGTGCAGGAGCAGTGTTAGAGCAGCAATTTGAGGAGAACTTTGCACTGAAGGCAGAGGAGAATGTGGGTCAGCACAACTCATCCTGCGCTGCCTCCTGGTCACAACAACAGGCTTCAGGGCTCTGATCCCAACGCTTTCTGAAAACTTGTTTTGGATTTAATGAAAAAAAGTGTGAGGTCAAGTTCAAATTTATTCCAGATGGGAATGTATATTAATATACATAAATATATATAAAACATATGTATATATTCAGATGAACAATAGACGACAAGTCTGCCTAGAAAGAGTCAGATGCAGATCACTGATTTAAAGCTATTACTAGACTCAGCTCCTGTGCCAGACAGGGCATTAGTAGTTTTATGTACAAGCTCAAATTAATATATATGTACCAGTCCAAGTCCGATAGTTTCCCTGAAAATATGAAATTGTTCCTGCAAACCTGATCACAGAAAGGAGCCCAACTTAGTGGGACTTTCAGTCTCGGGCTCAGCCTATCCTCATGTTCCTATGAGAATTACAAGATTAATCTGCCTTTACAGTTTCCACATTAGTCATCTTAATGTTCTTACATTTTCACTTTCTGGCAATCAGAACATACCAGGATTTACATTTTAGAGGCATCTTTATTTATATACACAAAGTGGAGGAAGCTAAAATCTGTGACACTGAAATACTGTGTTATTTTCATTTCTTGTCCTCATTTTCCATCACTGGGTGCTGGAAAATTATACAGAAGTGTTAATACTGGGGAACTAATACAAGAAAATGTGTGAAAATTCTGCCTCTAAAAATCAAAACATTATGATTAAATGAGATATATTTTTTCCAGCTGACAAAAGGTGGGCATGGGCTGTCTGCCTTATATTACAGCTGGGCTATATATAGAGAGAGAGCAGACTCTATTGCATCCACCCAGATTTGTTATGGCTGATAAAAGTATTTTCCCCAACTGTAACCACACATGCAACATTGGTTTGCCGTTGCCATGCAGAAACAAGGGCATCCCAGGAAAACGTGGACAGCTGACTTTTCTTGGCCTGCATTGCTGAACCTATCTGGGACTTCATGTCTTCCTCAGCTTTGCTTGCCACTACAGATAAAGACACATCGCCTGCAAGGCAGGAGACTCATTTTCACAGTGCAGCATTAGCTGGAGGACATGAACCAGGCTTACTGACTGAAACAACAGTTGCAGCCCGGTGGGATTATGCTTACAAATGTCATTTCCCAAGGGCTGGGTACTGGGTGACATTAAAGGGTTTAAAATATTCCGGTTTCAGGAGAGGCCCAGCAAGACAATTAGTGCAATGGAATAGATGGTAGAAATCATCTAAAACCAGTGGAAAGGGCAACATCTGAATTGAGGGTCTCTTCTCCACTCTCAGCTGCCCACCACCGTCCTCCTGGGTGCCCTGTTCGTAGCTTTAGGCACACTGCTGCCCTGCCACAGGGAGCTACCTGCCCCCAGCTCCTGCCAGGTGCCTTTTTGCCTTACACTTTTGGAACAGTGCTATGAAATTCTACCTGACCTTTACTTTTTCTCTAAAAGAAGACCTGAAATCCTTTCGTAGAGCCTTTGTCTTCAGCTGATCTTTTTTTCCAGCAGGCTGTTTAAAGTGGCACGGTACCTCAGTCACGTCTATCGCCTGGAAGAAGGGGGAAGCTCCCCTGTATGTATAACCTAGATATAAGAACTAAAAGGCAAGAGCACATGCAAATGCTACACCTCGGTGTCAGCACATTTTGAGCACTCATCCTGTACATTAACATGGGGCCTTGGAATATTCCAAAAAAAAATCTGAGCCTTTCCAAAGCCAAAGCAAACAAGGAAACTAGACCGGATGAGTGCTGGTCCATGAAAAAAACATGCTGTGGCATTTGTACTGCCTGCAAAGCTGATATTTATCACTGTCAAGTCAAATTTTCAAGACCAATGGCCAATTCACTGTGAGATAATTCACTGTACCCATGGAAGGACAGAAAGCTCACAGGGCAGCTCAGGAAACATGAGGCTGGACGTGTGCCCGATCCACAGAAAGGCCTCTCTGCAGTTTGTCTGTCTAGCTGGGTACCTGGGGATGCTCCACCTTTCCTAAGGGGGCTGGAAGCTGTTGGCACAGGATTAAATAAAAATAGTCTGCCTGGTCCAAAAGAGATCGATTCAGCCTTCTGCTTTTCTTGAGCAGCCTCTGAAGTTGAGATTCCTGTAGAGCTCAAACCTAGTATTAAAGCAATTTTTTTTTCCTGGCAGAAGCCCTGTGAGCCCAGTGTTTCCAGCACTCCCATTCCCCCCAAGGAAACCTCCAGACTCTGACATAGCCAGGTGTATGCCATCTGCAAGGCTTAGAGCAGCCAACCCAATGTCAGGCTCACCAGATTTCCCTTTTAAATCAGGAGCTGAATAAAATGTCAGATTCAAATCTCCTTAAGCAATGGGCCCCAAAAGGTAGACCCAGATCTTCTGCCCACCTCTTTGCTTTACGGGGATGTCACAGCAGAGGTTCAGTATTACATTAATTCCATATGTGCATAGAGATGAAGATATTTATAGCCTGGGAATGATTCATGAAAGCAACCACAAATTCCCCTGTAAACTTTTAGGACTTCTAATTAGAAGTATTAATTATTTAACAGAAGCCCACGTTGAAAGCAGGATCCACATTTCAGTTATTCTGTCACAATTTCAAGCCCTTGGAATTCATTTTACTGTGAAACTCCCCCAGCCTATTTGCATCATTTTGCACTCTGAACTAGCTGGTTGTCTAGACAAATGACAGCTACAATTCACTTTGCTCGCAGTGCTATCATAGCCTAATTTGAATTGCCATTTCATATGAGCAGTACCTAAAATCAGATGTTCAGGATTCATTTGAAAATAAAATGGTAAAAAATGGATGACCAAACTAAGACAGTGGGAAATGTAAGTCAAGAATACAATGCTGTTAGATGTGAAAATGAACTAAATAATCTCTGCTTACATTATACTACTCTCATTCACATGCTATTTTGTTGCCCTCCTGTTGTTACTTACTTTTAAGCCACTCTAGGAATACAATAAATGATTCAGATAGATAATTAAAGCCAATTAATGAGACGTATTAAAAGTAATGCATTTTTCAGTTTCTAACATAACAAGAAGTATTTCCATCTATAGCTCTAATATCATTTTAGATGAAAATTAATGGCATTTACCCAACTGCCACAGATATCACTGAAAGAGAGTATGTCAGGTTATTTCAGCCCAGGAATACATCACTCATTGTTACCACACAGTGCTATGTTCACACAAATTCTTTAATTTTCTTGTACCTTTTTGAAATTTATTTATGTATTTTTGAGAGGTACATTGTCCTTTGTACATGTAAGCAGTTTCTCTCAGTCTAAGGTCTAAGACAATTAGCATGCATATTTGCATGGCAACAGCAGTAAGTGAAATGCACAACGTAGGGCCTGGTGTTCTTTTACGGAATAAGGAAGGAAGTCTGCAACCATAACAGAAGAAAGAAGAGGGATGAGTTTTGCTTGGAACGTGGTTATTAAAATGAAGAGCTTTGCATCACAATGTTCCTCTTTCTGGTGAAATATTTTACAGATTCTGATTCTTTCTGGACATCCATCAACCCGGAGCACTGGAGTAAGCACAACGTCTGCGAATGGCTGCAGTTTTGCTGTGACCAGTACAAGCTAGATGCCAACTGCATTTCCTTTTCCCATTTTAATATCAGTGGCTTACAGCTCTGCAACATGACCCAGGAAGAGTTCCTGGATGCTGCAGGCATTTGTGGTGAATACTTGTATTTCATCTTACAGAACATCAGGATGCACGGTGAGTGTTCCAGAAACCAAATGCAAAACAGAAAGCAGTGCTTTTTTGAGTGAAGTTTTTGCTAACAGAAAGTGTGGGATTCATGCTGTAGAACAGCAAAACAGGAGGGCACTTAGGTATTAGCCTACATAAGGACACAGCCACAGCTGTGTCCTCCACTCTTGATGTAGCTATGGGGTCAGCCACATGTCACCAGGTTCCTCCCTGGGCCACAGAAACCTTCATGCAGGCTCCAGTGCTGTTCCATCCTTGGCCTTTCTGCTGAAACTGCTCGACCTGCAGCAGTCCCAGGGTTACATCCAAACTGGATACAGAGAGACATAATACACAGTTATTCCTGTAACCCAACAGAGTGAAGACTGCTCTGCTTCCCAGAAAGTAGACCGGTTTTGTTTGATGAGATTATGAGAGCTGACGCTGAACAGCTGAGTGTAAGTTAAATACAACAGACCATGCCCATCCACCCCCTGCATTGCCCAAGGCCTGTGAGGAAAGGCAATATACACAGTCCTGTAACGAGACTGTCACAACATAGCAGGCAATGCACCCAACTGCATCTTTACAAGCAGGCCTAAGTTTATCATTTACTTACTTTGTGTGTTGGACTGCTCAGCATGGATTAAGTTCTCTGAATGCAGCTTGATATGGGCAAAGAATTCATTTATGTGCTGGGAACGTAATGGATCTTTAAATGAGGTGACACAAATCTGCTAACACAGAGTTTCAGGCCTGTGCACATCTGGTTTCCAGCAGAAAAGGTGATTGTTAGGTAGGGGAAGGATGCAGAAGTAGTTTTCAAGAGACTGAATGAGGACGGAGTGAAAAGAAGCTGCGAGTGATCTTTGGAGAGAGAAACAGAGACACGTGAGTAGATGTGATGCAAAGGCTAAGGAAAGTGGAGGATCAAGACAGATCAAGAAGTGGAAACAATAAATCAATTTAGCAGTGGAGAAGTTGAAAAATTATTTCACTGGTTTCAGTAGTTAGTCTTCTGAAGAAAAGCATTGAACACTGGGTTGTGTTTTACCTTCACAGGCACATCGTTTTTTACTGACTTAGAAGAAACAAAGTTATCCAGCAAGGACTGTAAGTAAACATGATCACGCACACTAAGTTGCACCCAATGGAAAACACATTTCAGAGAAGTTCCCCTATTTTGTTACTTTTATCCCACTACTGTTTACCCCATGAAATAAATCTGTAGGTCTTAACTGTTAATTGCTTTCACGAGGTTTCACCAATCACCCTTCTGCAAACCCCACAGTTGTGTTAATTATTCACTTGCACTTAGTTTTGTGCTGGAGTTTTATTAAAGAGATAAAGTTGCAGCTCACATACCCTCTTTGACTTAATGTTGCATGGTGTTTGCATAGGTGACCTTTTGACCAAGTTGCCATCAGACTCAGGAGTTCCTTCTTCACTTCTCACGTTATTCTGCAGTTCAGTCCCAGCGCATGATAAAGCATGCATAAAGACAGGTGGCATCAGCAGCCAAGAATGTCACAGTCATGGTAGAACAAGTAAGTACATATCTGAAACTCAAAATTCAAGATTACACAACCTACGTTGTTCTAACTCTTCAGCTCCATGCGGTTATCAAAAGAAACCTTAACGATACCACAAATAAATAAATTACAAATAAGTAAAATTGGATATTAGGAAAAATTTCTTCTCTGAAAGAGTGGTCAGGCAGCGGCACAGGCTGCCCAGGGAGGTGGTTCAGTCATTGTCCCAGAAGGTGTTCAAGAAAAGCTTAGATGTTGTGGAAAGGGACATGATTTAGTGGGAAATATTGGTGGATGGTTGGGCTGGATGATCTTGGAGGTCTTTTCCAGCTTTGGTGATCCTACGATTCTAATCTTACGTTAAGGTAATAGCTACACCTGCATTTTCTTTTTTCTTTCCTGTTTTGTTTGTTTTTCAGCTAGAGTCCCATTATTTGTGGGACATCTGGTGTGCAAACACATCTCTGAGCTAGGTGAAACAACAGGAAAAGAAACAGTCTACCAGTGCTGGGAAACTGGCACTCGTTATCTCAGTTTTAGCCAGCCCAGTCTTTGTTACAGTTTTTCCCTTGAAACACTTGAGATGAACATTAAAATTTTTTTAAAAGCACCAATTTAAACCATATGTTAAAGTTGTCAATGATAAGTGAATGAAATAAATAAAGCTGTTCTACAGTAAAATTCCTGGAGTAGAAACCAGATTCTAGCACCATAAATATTTGTAAAAGCCCTTAACTGATATTTTCTGGAGCACTTCTTATTTGCCCCTTAATTCCATTTGTAGAGAGGTAAGGCACTAACATTTGGAGAGTCTAATTGAAATAAGTGCAAACAGACAACAAGAATAACTAGCTGGTGACAAACGTAAATATAATTCTGCCTAAGTAAGAAAACATCTACTGAAGAGCTGTCTTCTTCCTGTTCAAGACCTTCAGAGTTCACATTTGTGGGAATTTGTAAGAGACCTCCTCCTTTCTCCTGAAGAAAACAGTGGCATTCTGGAATGGGAGGACAGGGGAAAAGGCATTTTTCGAGTTGTCAAATCAGAAGCTCTGGCAAAGATGTGGGGACAAAGGAAGAAAAATGACAGAATGACATATGAAAAACTGAGCAGAGCACTTCGGTGAGTTAATCGGTGGAAGGGCCCCTCATCTCACTTAACTTCTGTCTCAACATCCATATCTCATTACTATCCTGAAAACTTACAATGGGCAGACAGGAATTGGTACTTCCTGTTTATTCTAAGGCCACAAGAGAGCACTCAGTCTCCTTTGTGTCACATAGGATCATAGGGCTAGATGTAGAGCGGTAGAGTGGTGCAATCGACTCTACTGATTGCAACAAAGCTATCACATTAACTCAGCTGAGAACTTGGACTATATCTGCTAAATGACGCCTTTTATTCCAGCAGAAACATAGGCAGTTTCTGCTGAATTGTGGTAATCTTAGTTAAAAATACAGCTAAGAAAAAAGCTTTGTATTCCTTGTAATTTTCAAACAGTGGAAAGTATAATCCAAGGCACCTGGGAAAGCTGAAAGCTCTTTTAAGTCACAACAAAGCAATTTAATGGAAAGGAAGATTGGAAAGAGTACACTGACTCCCATTCTATTCTCTGGCTGTGAGGTCTATGTAAAGAACTCCAGTAATCTGAATTCTACTACTTTTTTGTTTATTTTCCCTGCAGATACTATTATAAAACAGGCATTTTGGAACGAGTAGACAGAAGGCTGGTGTACAAGTTTGGGAAGAATGCCCACGGATGGCAGGAGAACAAGATATGAACTGCTCAGTGCTCCCACACATGCCTGGCACAAAACACGCCACAATCTGGATGGTCCAGCTGCAGTGGACACTTGAGAGAGAGGCTTTCCTCTCCCTTTCTCCCCTCAGCCCATCTGGACGAATTCCTTGGAGTCTGCTACAGGAAACAGGCTACAGCATCAAAAAAAGCACCTGAATTTTGGAGTCGTTTCTGCCAAGCACTGTCTGCTAGGAAGTCTTTAGGAATATCTTTATCTGCTGCTCAAGTGACAGTTAAATCCTGCCTGTCTCCCTGCCTCAGCCAATAATGTCAATGACCAGTAGGAAATTCCTCTCTGTTCTGCTGCCATTTAAAGGGGAATATTTAGAGACATTTCCCAGTTATGTTACAGTATTTCTAAAGAAAGTAGAAAAGCTTCTTTTCCATTTGATGAGAAAAACCACACTTCTGATCCATTCCACTCTAAATCACTGCATTTCTCAGATATGCCAGAAATCCATGTGTTGTCTGAAACGTGCAGTCCAGTCTCCTCTATGTGCCTGGATTTAATATATCCAGTCAACATAGTTAACAAAAAAAAAAATCAATCTCAATTCTGAAATACATGTATCAAGTAATTACTACCTATATCTACTAATTCCATCTGTGCAAAGATGTAGAGCAACACACACTTGATGTATTTGATTTTTTTATTTTTTTTTTTCCATGAAGATGAATTCAAGTTACTTCTGCATTAGGAAGAAGCAGTTCTGGATAGGGTACAAGAATTTGCTGAAGTAGATTAGTTTTGAAATGTAAATGAATATTTGTGGAGATGTTTCTAAAGAGCTTTTGCCCACATCTATGCAGACATCAGTTGAACACTTCAGAGCAGCTTACAGCAGTGTTGTACATATACCAGTAAAATTAATGTGTGGTGTGTGCCCTCAGCTGCTCCATAGATCAACCCTACAATAAGCAAATTTGTTAGAATGAAAGGCGGTATGTGAGAATTCAGTTGCGGCTTTTGAAAGCATCATGACTATTCTGTAGTTTTACAAGGTTTGCTTCTTCAACATGCCTATAATAAATAATAAATTTATAAATTTATATTTTAAATTATAATAAATTTAAGCTACAACTGTAAATGCATCAACTACTTTAGGCTTACCGCAAGTGGCATTCAGGGAAGTTCAACGGGCTTCTAAACTTGCTTTCCAATGGACAACTCTGCACACATTACTCTACATAATCCCAGGTCACTGAGGACTTCCTTAACCCTAAAGCCTTTTTCTCGCAACTCAGAAAACCATGGTATTATTTGCAATAGGAATTAGCTTTCATGGCAAGTCTCTGTTGTAAGAATTGGGATTATCAAGTGAAGAACAGCTGCAGCAACCCCCATTACAGGCACTGCACTACATGGGATTACATGGGCAGCAGCTGGAATGGAGGATGGTGGTTACTGACTTCAGAACCTGGATCAGGCCCCAGCACTACCAACAGCCTGCAAAATTCACATTAGAGATGACTACCAATGAGGTTTCTTCCAGAAATTACGGGTATTTGTTTGGAAAGGCTCCTCTTTCTCCTATTTTTCAGCCACGTGTTTGTTTTTATCTGCATAACAGCCACAGATAATCTTTCTGGGAAATAAATTCCTTAGGGATATAAACACAGCATAAAGGGCATGCTGTGAAAAAATGCTCAACGTTTATTGCAGCTGCCTGTTTCATAATATGGGAAAACAGCTTGGCTGAAGGAAAAACAAGGCACTAAACTTGACATAGAAACACTTCTCAGACTATGACAAGATGTAGAACTGAGGGATGCAGATTTTCAAATGTATCTGACACCTGTGTAATTTAGGTAATAAAATATAGTACAAATGTTCTGTTTAGGCTTCTAAATAGATAGATAGATAAATAAATAAATAAATCAAGCTTTCAAACTCTTTAAAACCAGCAGGAATTGCCAACGTTCCACCACACTACCTGCAAAACACAGCCAGGTGGCCCTCTTGTGCCACGTCCAAAAGAGATCAACAAGCCTTTAGGCCCCAATCCAATTATGAATCATAGAATTGCTGAGGTTGGAAAAAGACTTTAAAGATCATCGAGTCCAACCATGACCACCCATACTACCCTAACTGTAACAACCCTCTGCTAAATCATGTCCCTTAGCACCACATCCAAATGGTTTTTAAACACATCCAGGAATGAAGATTTACTGTAGAGATGTTCTTAAAATGTGAACTGTAAAATAGATTTTCCTCTTAGGTTTGTAGAGTTTCCTGCCCACTGCAACTTGTTAACAACATGAACGAAGATGTATGCCTTTCTTCCTCTCGTGTTGCCATAACTCATTCCAAGAGTTCCCAGAACCACTCCATGGAGGCCAGATCTTGTAGCCTGGGCCTGTCCCACAACTTCCAGATGTGGACCAGGGCAGCCCCAGGCATCTCTCTGGCACCAGGCCCAGGGAGATCCAGCCCTGCTGGCTGTGGGGACAAGGACAGCTGGGACTGGACAGTCACTGGGGCCTTGGTGAGGATCACCACGAGGAGATGTCAGGCAGGGTCAGTCAGCTCAAAAACATACAACTTACTCTAGCTCTGCCATAAGAATGGAAATTCAGAAGACGGGATAATGCTAATCCCAAAATCTAATCCATCAACACAACTTCCCCCTTGTGCAGCCAATCTAAGCAGCGCAGATACAGCAAAGAACAAAATGCTATTTCAGATATTGTTAAGTCAGAGCACATGGCGCAGAACTCTTTGGAAGGGAGTGGCCTGTTTAAGCATAGCTTAGAAACAATCTGATAAAAATCTGGAAGTTTTTAAAAGGGTCAACTACTGTAAATTGTTAGTGTTGTAACTCTAATGGTGCTGTGATGATCCAACAGAGTCTGCAGGCAACTTCAGCCAGGAAAAAAGGTTGCCCAGCTGTTCCTTCACGCTCATGAATGCAGTATAGAAACAACAGGCAATTTAATACGCTTCTCCCAAGGCAGATAACACATCTATTTCTAAAAACTAAAGCAGAGCAGAAAAACATACAACATTATCTTTCATACATTGCCTTCCTGTGCCACTGAAGGCATCAACGGGCAACAGAATCAAGATCCTAAATGGCTACATGTGGAAACTGTTCACCTATCGACATTTACAATGCCAATGCAAATGTCCTTTTTTCAAATCTCCAAAGAGATTGAGAAAGCCATTTTATTCAGAAAGAATTAAGTCTAGCATCATTACTAAGGCTCTCAGCCAAAAAATGCACCGCCTTCTACATCCTAATGCCTACCTAGTATCATTCTAAGCTGTGAAAAGGGAGCTTCCTCTAAGGCAGGCACAAGTATTACACAGGATCATTGTATCTTCAGAAAGCATGTAATTCTGCACACCACCTTTGTCACAAGGGGTTACCTTGCGAAACATCATTTAAGATGAATCACAGCTTCTTGCTGTGTAAATCCTTGTAAATCCTGACTATCTGCATGAAATGACAGAATTTGTCATTCTCCAGCAACATCTGGGTTAAACCTGTATTCTACCTGGTTTGGAGCAAAAGTCAAACCCAGACGTCAGCCCTTCCACATGCCAGAATGGCATCTTAGCCTATTTCAACAGTAAATGATACATGTTTTACTAATTGCAGGCAAGGATTTCAGGCTGATTATGCCTCCAGACATCACATAAATTAACAAAATCAGTTCCTCTATTTAGGCATGATGATTCCCACCTCTACCTGCTTCTAGCACAGAAGAAATGCAGAGGCCAAGGACTTTGTTATGAACCATGGCAGTCACCAGTACAACTTGGAAGAGCCTTAGCTCTCACACTCTGTTCCTTAAAATCCTGCCAAATCTTAACAAAATAGAAGCCTGATTGTAAGTCAGCTAGTTTCTGTCACAAATTGAACTATATGCATTGCATATTACTACTTCAAGCTTGGGAAAATACTGTATTTCTAAACAGCAGTTTCTTTGAAGGTTCACTTTACAAGTTCAGAAGATGGCAAGTTTGAGCAGTCTGATCTTGAAGAATGTGCTTTGAAAGTTTTAACCTTGTCCTGGAGGCACAAAGTGCAAGAAGAATATGCTTTAGTTTTTATCGTAAGATCCAGTTAAATCATCTTCAAACTGAGCTACAGAAGAAGTAGGAATGATTGTGTGGAACATTTCTTACCACATTTTCCCCAATACGCAAGCTCTCATTAAACAAGAAAGGAAATCAAACATCTAATTAAACTATTATTCATAATTATTATTTATTTCTTTTGCTCTACTATTAGTAAGCAAGGACATAACCTAATTATATTACCATCTGTGCTGTCACTTCTCAGAATCAATATTTTTAAGCAAGATTTAATTCAGACTGAATGTTGAAGTTGGAGTGACATTCTCGTACTGATAATTTTCCAAATACTTACTTCTTATTATTTAAACAAAACATTAAAGTCATTAAAGGGGAAAGCCTCAGAACAAAGTTGGCTGTTTATCCAGTGAAAATCCTGTAAGGGAGGATTTTCATTCACCCTAAGGAGGCTTCTTCAGCACTATTTATTCCAAAGAGCTTGCATACAGGTTCTGCTGCCAGGCAAATATTAGAAGAATTGTCATCTGAAATGCTAAGTCAAAGCAGCATGGGAACAGGAAGAAATTTCCTTTATCAGCTCCAAACACATTCTTGGTTGTTCTGTCCCAAGCCTTCTATATGGTCGGTCAAAAAAGGAAAGCAGTGATGAACTTCATGCAGGTCCAGCTGACCAGAATTTCAGACCAAGAACAAATTTTAGACTTGGCTTTACGTCTTTGAGAGCCATGTGTTGATTTTAGCAAATCAAGATGACATTCGCATGGAAAAGAGAAGGAAGATGATGTACTTTATTTTTTCTCAGCAGCGTGCTCACTACCAATCATAGCTGCTGCTCTCATTGCCCAGGTGGGCTTTTTGGCTTCACCCAGCCAATTATTCTCCCATCCATAGGAAAGCAGGAACACAGAAGAACAGCAGTACAGGACACTGCCAACATT